TAAAATTCTGAAGTTCCTGATGCGAGTGCTAAGCTTTCCAGGAAAGCCAGAAGAAAGGCCAACACTCGCTTACGAGCTAATAGCTGGGTGCTCGAGACCCTTCAAGAATCATCACTGCAGTTAGAGGCAAATGTACCAATAAATAATAGATTTGAATCATTAAAGTGGGTAAAAAGGAATGATGATAAGGGCCAATTAGAGAAGTCTTTTTGGGAGACTTCACGTCAACATCCACAACCACCAAAGAAGGAAGAATTTGCCTCTTCCAAAATATACAAAATACTGAAGGTTGTTAAAGGTAAAAATATACAATGAAGATTGAGGAAATCTGTTACTGATGTCATTGCCTCAACTGAGATTCATCCTCAAAATAATAAATTTTTAGCAAGACCTTATGTAGAGGAGTTTAGACATCGTCCATAATACCAAAAGTAAAGAGAATTATATCCTAATATGGGTCGATACCCATATTACGGAAGAAAACACTCAGGAGAGCCTTCTGATAGTCTACATATAAGAGGCTATAACATAAGATATGATAAACGAAGGCCCCGAAAGTGGTATTATGAATCTAGCAATTCAAAGGTACATTCCAATGTTGGTGGTCATCAATATATGACTTTGAGAAGACAACAAGTTTGGGTTCCAAAAAGATCCAATATCCTGAAGCTCAACAAGATGATCATGATAAAGAAACCTATAAATGACGACTTAGGTCTCATGTCCAGAAGTTATCCCCTAACAAGAAGACTTTTGTTGACATGAAAAAGTGAAAAGAGAAAAAAAATCAAATCTATAAAGAATTCCCTGACTCTCCAGTCATATATTGGAAGCGGTTGTCCGAACTTGGAGATGATCTCGAGTTGGATGAAATTGATAACTACTATAATAATATCAAAGAAGAAGAAGAATATATTGATCCTATGAATGTTGAAATTATCTGGATGGTTGAACATGTCCCAAATCCACCTAATCAAAGAATCCATACTCGCAGAAATGTAGCTTCAAATCTATAAATTGAAGGCCAAATACAAGTCAATAAAGAATAAGCAATTTCTATAAACAGAACACCCCACATTAAGAAGAAGTGGAAAAAGGGAGAAATTGAAGATGTTGTAAGAAGGCTTTAACATGACATACAACTTCTCTAACAGAAGAAAGACCAACAAATTTAATCATTTGAACATTCTTCTTGATGAAATGAGTATCATAATGAAAGAACTGCTTGGGAAACTTTGTCTAGCAACCGTAGTTGGCTAGGTACATGCTACAATTTTTTTTAAAGTTAAAAAGTAAGAAATATTGCTCTTCCAATAATAAATGTTGGAGATCCTCAAACCATTCTTTCTGATCTGGATACTTCTAACAAAGGATTAGAAGGTCAAGAAAAAGTAGATAAGATGGTCAATAAGACCTACATCGAATATGTCATCAGCCGAAAAGTCAAGGAAGTTATAATTTTTTATACTAATGAAGCCTTGGTGGATAAAGGATGTCACATACTACTTATAAAACTACAACGCAAGCCACCCCATATTCACTGGTTCGTAGAACTGAGGCAATATCACCTCTCAAGATCAAGTTGTCATCTCTTTGTATTGCTGTTCAATATGAATTAACAAAAGAAAATGATCTTTTACAACTTAAAGAGCTTAAAGCTCTTGATGAAGTTTGACTTCAAGCTCAACAAAGTCTAGAATCTTATAAAACAAGAATAATTTGGGCCCATGATTAAATGGTTCATCCTAAAAGCTTTAAGGAAGGTGAACATGTTCTAGTTCGTTGAATACATATAATACCTCACCATCGCCTCAACGGTAAATTTGACCCAATCTTGGAAGGAACCTTCATCATTGAAATAGTGTGCGAAGGAGGTGCCTATCAACTCATAGACCTAAAAGGTCAAAGACCCATGCCACCAATTAATGGTCAATATCTGAAGAAATATCATACATGAAGATGTTATATATAAAAATCTGCTTATAAGGCTAAATTCATCTAAATCCCCTACTAAAAGACATGAGGCAATTTTATGTTCTCCTGCAATGTGGAAGATAAATTTAATTACCTACTGAAAAATAGGAGACAAATTTTATAATCTTTTTGTAATGCATAAGATAAATTCAATCCATTCCTGAAAAGTCAAGAGGAAATTTTATCCCATTTACTAAATAAAATAAGGGAATTACAAAATGTTATATGCTCAAAAACCTAAGAGTCAATCTAAAACCCATTGGTTCAACAAGCCTAAGGGTCGAACATTTGAAATACTATAAGCTCATAAACCTAACGGTTGAGCTAAATCCATAAAGTTCAATAAGCCTAAGGGCCAAACTTTATAAATCTTATATGCTCATAAACTTAAGGGTCGAGCTAAATTCACAAAGTTCAATAAGCCTAAGAGCCAAACTTTGTAAATATTCTATGCTCATAAACCTAAGGCTCGAGTTAAAACCCATTAAATTCAACAAGCCTAAGGGCCAAATCTTACAAAACTTTTATGCTTAATAATCCTAAGAGTCGAGCTAAATCCTATTGATTTAACAAGCCTATGGACCGAACCTTTACAATATTCTAAGCTCATAAAACTAAGGGTCGAGATGAATCCACAAAGTTCAACAAGCCTAAGGGCTAAACTTTATAAATTGTATATATGCTCATGAACCTAAGGGTCGAGCTAAAACATTTTGGTTCAACAGGCCTTAAGATCGAACCTTTGAAATATTTTAAGTTCATAAACCTAAGGGTCCAGCTAAATCCATAAAGTTCAATAAGCCTAAGGGCCGAACATTATAAATCTTATATGCTCATAATCTTAAGGGTCGAACTAAATCCATAAAGTTCAACAAGCTTAAGTCCGAACTTTATAAATCGTATATTCTCATAAACCTAAAGGTCGAGTTAAAACCCATTGGTTTAATAAGCCTAAGGGCTGAACCTTTGAAATATTATAAGCTCATAAACCTAAGGGTTGAGCTAAATCTATAAAGTTCAAAAAAAAATCTTGGGCTAACCACCATGCAATTGTTTTTTTTTTTTCAATTAGGTTTTATTTGACTTCAAAGTTATATTATTCAATTCATTATATTTTATGGGGTTTATCACTATTTATTACTTAGGAGTTTTATTATCAGCTAAGAGGTATTGGATTTTAGTCTTACATATGTATTGACTTAGGCGTTAGGGTGTAAATGAGTCAAGTTGATCTTGAGTCAGAGGCTGTTCGAGTCGATCTCAGCTATCAATTACCAAGCTCGAAACTTGGGTCAAGCTCAAAAGTCGAGGTCGAGCTTGACTCTTTCCAATGTAAATGAATTTGAGCCGCTCGTCGAGCCTCTGGTGTAGTCTAGTTTGGCTTCCCAAATCTCAACATTCGAAGTTCCGTGGTTCTCGAAATATGTGTGCAATTTTTTTAAAAATGATAACAGCACAAAGAGAGAGAGAGAGAGAGAGAGAGAGAGAGTTTTGGGTTTTGTCAAAGAGAGTTATTAGCATTTATTACTGTCAGAGAGAGAATAAAGAGATGCAAATGATTGAGATTTGAGAATAACTTTGAATTCTCGAAATACATGACAGATGGAATTTAAAATGTAGGCAGGATTGTGATTTATCTAGCATTTATTACTAATTTTTTAAAATATTTGAATTTAATAATTTTGAGTCGGCTTGCGAGCTCATGAGCCGAACCTAACCATGCCTGAACTCAAGGTCTTGGCTCAATAAGCTTGGCACTTGAGCTCTTAAATGAGCCGAGATCGAGCCAGGTCGCGAGCCTGCTCGGCTCACTCACACCCCTACTTAGAGGTGTCAAAATAGGGTTGTGGTTCGGGTTCAGCTCGAAACCATTATTGATCCGCTACTATTTGACACAACCCAAACTCGACTTGTTTTTTACATATAGGTCAGAAATTTTAACCTCAACTTGACTCACTGGGTTTCCGAGTTGACTCGATTCGACACAAAACCCTGTGTGACTTGCGAGATTTGTCCTAAAAAGTGTCCGAATGGGATAAAACGGTTAGCTTCATAATAAGCGAACTCCCTCTTGTCATCAATGTAGTTACTTCTAATCCAACAGAAGAATGAAGAGGGTGAGTTGTCGTGACTTTTGATCCAACAGGAAGGAAAGTCGTAGGAGGAGAACGCGGTATGCGAGTGGGTGTGCAAAAGCAGCGGAAGTTGGAGAAGAGGAAAAGCAAACCCTACATGCAAGTGCAAGCGTACTAGTAGAGGCATGACATATGCGGGCATGTGGAAGCAAGACTGCATGAGCTTTGGTGGGGGAATTAGGTCAAATATGGGTCAACTTTGAGTTAATGGGTTGACTCGAACCACACCCGGGGGGGGGGGGGGTGGGGGAATTAGGTCAAATATGGGTCAACTTCGAGTTAATGGGTTGACTCGAACCACACCCGATTCTTCAAACGGGTCAAAATTTGGAACTTGAACTCAACCCGTTTGCCAAACAGGTTGACCTGGAATTTTTGGATTAGGTTGGATCGGGTTTTCATGTCATGTTAAATATTGACACACCTATGCATTGTGTATGAGTTTTTTTTTTTTAAATTTTATTTATTTATTTATTTTTTGTGTACAAGTTTATCTTAATTGACCTAATGTCCAAAAAAATCATTATATTTTTAACTAAATAATTTATTTTACTCCTAGATATTGTGTTTGATTGATATTTTTTCATTATATGGTCCAAATTTGTCTATTTTTTGATTATATGGTCTACTTGTTTTGGGAAACAATGCCTACCATATGAGTTATTTATTAATTTTAATTTTTTTATAAATAAAATATAAGTATAATTAATAAAATTTAAAAATTTATTTAATTGTTTAATAATTTAAATAATTATTT